ATTTTATTAACTCAACAGAAAAAACAATATTTCTTTTTCGAAGTGCATCAAAACGCTTGCGTAGCAGTTCAGATTTTGCTGAAATAAGAGTAGTAAATTGAGACTACATTCTTTACTATATGTCTTAGATTGCCACACTGTATCGTTTGAAGAAAAGGGAAATCTTTTAAACTGGATGTACTACACTGTGATGAATTCTAAGAATAAAATATTTTCAAATATATTTTTAAAAATCTTCTTTGTATTTGTCTCAAAATATATCTATATTAAAATTATGTGTATCTATTTTCTTCTCGGATTGTAGTGTTTTTTAAAGAACTTCTCCCTATACCTATAAAAACGGATTGCGCAGCTGTATAAATAAGCGATATTCGTTAATCTAATATTAGAGGGTAATTTTATTTCAGTAAGCGAATTATTTTAAAACGCGGGCTATTGCCTGAGGTGAAACATGCTTTCTGAGGGATTTCTTAATGGAACTTAATACACACACTTGGCCAATGAATTAGAAACCTTTGAAATTTTCATTTGAATGCTAGGGATATAGTATGCAAATTGTTTTATGACGTGGGTTACACGTGGTGAGAATGATAGTACAAGTAAGGTGTAAGAGTGCTTTTCACGATGAATGAAATAAAATGTGAAAAAAGACAGATCTTTCGCCATTTGAAAAGGAGCTTATTGTTGGTGCCCGTTTAGCAGGGGCCTTGATTTCGAAGACAACAAATCTCACTGGGTTCTCAAAAGCAACCGTATCAAAAGTTGGAATCAGAACCCACAGACCTTCTCTTAAAGACATAATTGCGGTTCGAGAGCAGTTTTCCAAGAGACATAACTGCGGTTCGAGAGCAGTTTTCCAAGAGAGTGATCGGCGTCATCTCTGATAAATGAGGACTATTACTCTAGAATAGGGCTCTGCTTCAACTGACACAGATCGTCAACCAAGACTCTTCCAAACAGATTCCAACTCGAACCATGTCCAAAGAATTGCCGAGGATAGGAAAACATAGTCAGAGCCTGTGAGAAATGCAAGAATTCGTTTGCAGTGGTGTCAGGAAAGCAGACACTGGACAGCTGAGAATTGGAAACGGCTAATGTGGTTGGGCGAATAATGATACACCTTATTTTGCACAAGACGTCGAATTTGGCGAAAATTTCAGGAAGCCATGAATCCATCTTGCCTTCCTCGCACTGTGCAAGGGTCTGGTGGGAGTATAATGATATGGATCATGTTCTGTTGGCATGGAAGTGGTACCCTGGTGTTCGTCGAGGGTAACCAAACAGCCATGAGATACCTAGATATTCTGGAAGATCAAGTGCACTCTGCAATGTTGCATTTTTACCCTGATGGCGACGGATACTTCATGGACGATAATGCAACTATACACCGCGACAGAAGTGTTCAAAATTGGTTCGCTGAACATCATTCTGACTTCCAATACCTTCCCTGGCCACGGCATAGCCCATATCTTAACCCCATAGAAAATGTGTAGAATATTGTGGAAAGACGCACCCGACAGCACTCTCCTCTTCCATCTTATTTACAAGATCTAAAAAGCTGTATAACCAATGCATGGTATCCTCTGGACGTAAATGCCCTCCAGAAGCATGTAGACGCGATACTCAAACGAATCAGACCAGTTATCCGTGCAAAAGGTGGTCCAGTAAAATATTGATCTTGGGTTTCTAATTCATTGGCCAGTGTGTGTATATTGCCTTTGCAGGCCTATAAAACAAAAATAAGTGCAAATCGGAAACTTGATTCCACATATTATATAAAATGTAATACATAAGCCTATATTCAGATATATTTGGGTATAATAAACAGATGGGAGGTGTTTTGAGCATGACTACAAAATCAGTGATACATAAAATTCAAAAATAACCCAAAAATAGTTTTCAGGAGAAATATAGTATTAAAAGAAACAAAAGTTCGTAAAGCGTTACTTATGCCATGAAAAGGTATTAAATATTCTACAATAATGCCGACTGCGTTTTAAAAGTTTGAAAATTAAACAATAATTTAAATTCTTTAACTGTTTTACGAGCTTCATACTTTGTATATTTTATATATGGACAAATAATCCTAAGTTTATGTCAACAAAAATCTAAATCCCAAAAGCATTTAGATATCAAATAGTATATAATAGAATAATATAGTTGTAATAGAATAATATGATAGTTGTTCCAACTCTCAGGGCTACAACGTGCAGGTTACAAATTAAATAATCACAGCAGGGATTATTAATATAAAGATTTTAATATGGATTTCTCCCACAAGCTGAAAACGTTACATTACTTTAACAACTGCATACATATACTGAGTGAAAAGGGAATTTCCGTGTTTAGTTCGCAGTTAAAGAAAAAATAAGAATAATAAAAAATAGTCCAATGAAATGCGGCGCTCCTTCTGTCGACTTCGCCCAGCTGTTACGTAATCATCTGTCTGCAGCAGCCGTCTCCAACATTCTCCCCCTCTTTGAGTCGACTTCAGGTTGGCTCAAAGACATACAGTACCTGGTCGAAGACATCTAATCTCTGAGGCACCTTGATCACACGTCCAAATCTTGACACTTTAGCACATGGCAGGATGTTACTAGAGTCATTTGAAGAGTCATTAGAATCTGAATACTCATCACTAGAAATAGAAGAAATAGGATTAGTAAAAGAGGTATCGTGTATGGGATCAGTGGGTATGTTCGTTAACTGCACTTCCAATGGAAAGACTCGCTGAATGGTACGAAGCAGTGTACCAGCTTAGTCTTTAGTTCTACAGTTCTCACCCTGCCATCTTTCCCAGGAATTAGTTGAATGACCTTAGCTAAAGGCCAATGCATCCGTTTTTTGATGTCATCTCCTATTAGGACAATTTCACCCAGCCGTAGCTCTGACGATGGACCTTTCTTATTTTCGACCAGAAGGCCTAAATATTCTTTCCTAAATCTATGCCTTAAATCATTAAGCAGTTTTTGGCGATGTGTAGCCCGTTTTAGAAGACCTTTTGAATCGCAGAAATCAACATCCGGAACACCTAAGCTACAAGATTCTCGATGAGAAACATGGCTGGGGAAAGTGGGATTAAATCATCCCGGATTTTCGAACAGATAGGTAAGAGGTCTAGAGTTAATTATTGACTCACAGTCGCACAATACTGTGTACAACTCCTCGGTTGTAAGAACCGCGTTCCCGAGTGTCCTACTCAACAGTTCCTTTACTACACGAACTAACCTCTTCCACCAGCCTTCCCCGCAAGCAGCTCTGGGAGGATTAAAACTTTCATATTATGCGTTGTATAGCCGTTTGCCTCGAAATGTTTTCCCAATCAATGTTACTAAGTTCTCTTTGCGCTCCTCTGAATTGCTTGTCGGAATAAATTATTCTCGGCCTCCCTCTTCTCGCTATGAATCGTCTCGACGACAACAAGAATGCGCCGGTAGACAATGAGGCGTTACGTTAATCAAGTCAATTCCAAATGAACGACTCTATATATTGCACATGTGAGCAAAACAATCCAAACTTTTTCACCTCCCTTCACATACATGGGTCCTGCCAAATCAACTCCTACCACCTCGAACACCGCTGCGTCATTGACACAATCGCTTGGTAGCGACACCGGCTCGCAACCGGAAGACTTGGCCTCGTACCGATTCATCTTACACAATTTTTTCGACTTTCCTGACCGCTCTTCTGCCCCTCACTATCCAAAATCGTTCCCTTAATATTCCGAGTAATATTTGGGTTCCAGCGTGACAATTTTGTGAATGATAATATTCTATCAGACGCTGGTTAAAAATGCACCGGTCTGGTAAAATAATTGGACAAATAAATTCATGGTCGTCTGATCGCTCTGTAATGCGCGTTTTCCCCCTTTTTATACCCTCTCTGTCTGAGACGATACTCATTTTGGGAATAGAGTCGGCGTAGGGAAAATACTTATTTTGTACAATTTTTATAAGAGTTTTTTCGGCATATTTCATCTCATGAACGGTTAAATCTCCAGTCTCTCGAAATGCGCGTTTACTTTTTGCGTTTTTCACAAACCGCAATATCCATGCGACTAATCGAATGATGGATTGAAAATTCGAAAACCTAATTGCATACCAAGGTATTTCCTCTTCAACCGAATTAAGGTTACACAATCTGACTTTACACAATTTACTTTTTTCTCGTTCTACCTCAGAGGTCTCGTAAGCCAAACGGTCTAGTGGCCAGTTGTTATTAGGTTCCAGGAGCCAGGACGGACCCTCCCACCAAAGGGAATCGGAAAATGAACGAGGGGAACTGCCTCTTCAAAGCATATATGCCGGGTTTAAATCAACATGGTACATGGCGCCAACACGGAGAAGGAATCAGACTGTTTATTTCCTTTACTCTATTCGCAACGAACACTGACCAATCACCCACCACGGTTTTTAATCCACCACAGTGCTACCATAGAATCACTCCATGCAAAAAAATTTCAAATAAGGGCAAATCCAAGGCGGCGTATATTGAGTGAACCACTCTCGCGCCAATGCAACAGGCCATCAATTCTAACCGGGGAATCGTCAGAGATTTTAACGGCGCTACTCTGGATTTGGCTCTGATCAATCGAATTTTGACTCCCACGGGCGTTACAGTTCTAATTTAGACACATGCACCATAGGAGGTCTTACATGCATCAACGAATAGATGTAACTCTGAATTCTCATTTATCTCTACATATCGTGGAATACTAATTTTCTCAAGATATTTAATTTCATTCTGCCACTTCTGAAAAGTTTTCTGAATGTTATCTGGCAAGGGATAATCCCATTTTAATTTCATAGTCGAAGCCCCCTGTAATAGTAACTTAGATAACAAGGTATTTGGATTCAAAAAAAAAAAAAAACCCTGCGGATCAAAAATTTTATGTACCATAGCCAAAATATTACGTTTACTTATCTCATTATCCATTGAATAATTAAGACTACATTTTAATGTATCGTTAGCCAAATCCCATAAGATTCCAAGAAGAGAAGTTATACCTGAACTACGGGAAATACAATGACCTGGAACATTATTTCCCAACCCCGTAGGTTAAAACGTCCCCGAGCCATTACTTCTGTCGCCTTAACTATATAAGTTTCTTGCTGTTTGATATCGTGAATCCCAGTGACACAATTGTCAACATAAAGCGATTGCTTTAATCTTTGGGTCACATCGTCAAACTCGGCAGGGGAATTATCCAAGAGATGCTCTATCGATGCAGAGAGTTGGAACGGAGGCGAACAAACGCCGAACACCACTCTGCACTGTCTGTAAATCATAGGTTCTTCAAGAGTTGGAAGAAAAAACCTGAAATAATCTCTATGTTCTGGGATAATACTCAGCTGAAGAAACGCTTTCTCTATATCCGATGATAAACCAACGGAATATAATCTAAACCTGTCAGTTATATCAGGTATGAGTTCAATTAAATTTGGCCCTCTATTTAAACAATCATTTAGGGATGGTTGATTTCTCTCTCGGGCTGAAGTGTCAAACACCGGCGTTACCTTCATTGTTTAGCTAGTATGCTTTATAACAGGTATATGGGAGGGAAAAAAAACTCAAATTATCAATTTCAGCTTCAGGAACCTTTTCTATTACTTTTAGGTCTTCCCATTGCTTAAAAACTACCTTATATTTATCTAATTGATTTTCTTCATTAATTCGTTGACACATTCTTTGATGCCTTTTAAAAGTCATAGACTTATTGTTAGGTAACAGAATTTCAGATTTAAGGGTAGTGGCAATTCGTATCGGCCATCAGGAAGAACATTTAAATTCTCTTTAAATTGCTTAACGGCGTCAGAGTGAGAAAATTTACGTTTAACATCTACAGTTGGGTCTATTATGCCAATGGCATCAAAATTCCAGATTTCAGTTACGCTAAGATTAGCACAATGCAACGAAACTAAATTACTGGACAAATTATTTTCTAGTAATGCTGGAATAGTAGCTGAAGTAAGTTCTTTAGATAAGCTCTTTCTTTACCAATCACAGTGTATCCGAATTTAGTCTAAACTATAGTTACACCAGAGTTCAGTTTCAGAGAGCTGCCAGTAATAATGTCCCCAATGGCACCTGCTCCTAAAAGCAATTCAATGTCATATTCTTTAGCTTGCAGATAAGCCAAGGTAATATTTCTTTCTTTTAATTCTTTCAGGGTATTGTGATCAACTACTTTTGGAACACATCCACATATTTTTCTGTATCCACATATCCTGTCGCGGACGCCAGATGCAACTCTCATAGCTACAACGTGCAGGTTACAAATTAAATAATCACAGCAAGGATTATTAATATAAATATTTTAATATGGATATCTCACACAAGCTGAAAACGTTACATTACTCTAACAACTTCGTACATATACTGAGTGAAAAAGGAATTTCCCCGCTTAGTTCGCAGTTAAAGGGAAAAAATAAGAATAATAAAAAATAGTCTAATCAAATGCGGCGCTCCTTCTGTCGACTTCGCCCAGCCGTTACGTAATCGTCTGTCTGCAGCAGCCGTCTCCAACATTAGTAGTAGTGATAATATAATATATAACATAATTAAATAGTATAGAATTATGTAATATATAATACAGAGGCTATTCGCACATTTTTAGGCGACTTTTCATTCTATGTAAAGAATCGCCTGCTTGGAAAAAAAATTTTTAACTGAAAATATATTTTTAAAGTTTGCCGTTCGTCTGTTGTTTGACAATTTTCTTGTCATGCAAAATGGCTCTTTTAAAGAAGAAATGGATAGAAGGCTATGTTTGTGCTCTTTTCGAAGAAAATTATTCGTATATAGATATTAAAAAGTGCTGTTAAAGCAATGATTTTTCGGCATCTGTAGCAATGATTTTTAATATTATCAGTAAGGTGGTGGTGTGGTGTGGTGTGGTGTGGTGTATTTAATTACGGCAAAGCACACTAGGGCTATCTGCCTAACGGGAGGGATGCCTTTCGTGGAGGACTTTCTAAGGGAAACTGGCTCGTATACACGTTACACATGAGGAAAACCACAAAAACACCCATGCAGCCAGTCCGTTCGCGGGATTCGAACCTTGGGCCGAACTACCAGTGTTCAGCGAATTTACTGCTCTTATCAGTAAGGAAAAAAAACGTCAAAGTTTGTCTTCAAGGAGAAACAGTGTTCAAAATGCATATCCAAGGAAAAAACGGAATGTTTCGAATGTTGCAAAGATAAGAACTTAAATTTTAAAATAAAATCTTTGAAGTCAAAGGAAAGTCGCATAATCACTAAAATGATCAGTGTCAACTCTAAATAAAGTGATTAATGCTGATTTGAATAATTAAAAGGCGAAAAATTTTAATGTGCATCGTCTTTCTACACGACGTACAGCCGAAAGCAGAACTCCCTGCAGAATTCTCTATTAGAAACAATTATTCTGACAAAAATGGAAAACTGTTATCAAAACAGATGAATCTTGGGTAGGTTTAAAGGAGCGCAATAAAAGAGATCCGTTTATTGTGATCAAAGAGAAGGATGAAATCTTAGAACATGGTTGAAAACATCTAAAGAAAGTTTTCCAAAGGAATTTATGATTATTGCTGGTTTTTAATATAACAACAAATAAAAATTAAAGAGAGTGCAGAAAACTGTTAAGCTCAACTCCACATATTATCAGGAGCATATATTACACCCAATCTTCAAATATGAAACATTTTATGTTCATCCACATGGCCTGTATTAAGGCTAAACTATTGACTCATATTACTAAATATCCCGATGTATTTATTACCCACAGATTTTTGCGGTTTGGGGCTTTTCAAAAGCGGATTGCCCAGAACTAGTCGACCTACAACCAACCTGAAGTCCGTTCAAGAGGAATGGCATAAAATACCTCTTCCGCTACTAAAAAAGCTTTGCTGTTTTGGAAATTACGGCGTAGAAAGATATTGAAGTATAAGAGTTATCAAATGGAACATTCATGACACAAAAGTTTAGGTAAAGCATTTCTGCAAATGCAATGAAAAGCGTCAAAAAATGTGCGAACAGGCCTAGTAAGTAGAAGCAGCAATTTTAGAATTCATTTGATCATAAAGGTTCGTAACTTCTTTCGTCCATGTATTTAGGAATTAGTGAAAATTATATAAATAAATATCTATAAAATAATTTTTCTTCAAAAGTGGTAGTAAATTTTTATGCATTATTTCTAGTACCTGGAAATTAACAAAAATTATGATTATTAAGTTAGTGAATTATTCAGTATTAAAAAATTACAAAATTATGTATTAAAAGATTTTCCGTAATATTGATGTCGAAATAAGAAATACGTTCTTAACGCAATCTTCTCACGGAATATAACGGCAGCAAGATAAATGACAATGTAGATTTCTGTCGAGGTTTTGAAAGTAATTTATTGATATTCGTCTCTCCAGTAACGGATTCATTTCATCGTTCTCTTAGATAATGCATTTAAATGCATTAGCGATCTCAAATAGAAACGTTGCACTACTAAATGGCTCGAAGACAGGAGAAACATTAATTGAATAACATCGCTAAACTATTTCTCTGAATGCCCATCAAGAGAGCGAAATGTTATATCTAAAATGGATCTAATTACTGCTCATTCCCAATCGGCATATCTAAATCACAATTGGGTTTTTCACAATTACTAACTTCCCGCCTTTCTGTATCAGTGCTCAGCACATTTCCTGTCTATTACGTTAATTAGGCGCCCATTTTTGTTTTTACAGCTAGTTTAATGTCTGTTTAGTGATCGAATGAAAAACATCAAGAATTTACTATTATTGAATCTCAACAGTCAGAGTGTAAGCTTACTTTTGAGGACAGAACTAGTGGTCTTCCAAAACAGGGAGAGTTTCATATAAAACAATGTAAAGCATGGTAAAAAGTAGGGAATTTGTGATAAAGTAGCCAAAAATACTCTCTGAAAGTTCACAGCGAAAACAGGATATCATTTGATAAACAATTAACTCAGAGGCCTTGATAACTCTTCCTGCCTGTTATGAAGGATATTCTGATTTAACCTTTATCTGATTGTAGGTACAAATTTCCTAAAACAATAATAAAAAATCCCTAGGCAAAGAAAAAAAAAATCTGAAAGCTTTCAAATTTTATATTACACTCAAAAGGGCGTTTATTTAACATTTTGCGTGTTGTCTTTATTTTTAAACATCATGTTATTCACACTTAAACACATAGAATTCAATTCAACAGCAATATCACAAAATATTTTAAAACAGCATATCTTTAGAATTTCCGGTAGACAATCTTACGAGCTGAAGATATGGTTGTTTTACTTTAAAAATGGTTGAATTATGCTATTCTAATGTTCCGATTACTGTTTCTACACCTTTAGTTAATCTGCATGCAGTACGTCTAGAATTATCAATAATTTAGAAGTTTAAACTGCTCTAGGCCTAACGAGGCCACCATTTGTTTACATCTGAACTTTTAAAAGATAATGAATTAAGTCAGCTGGTGCACTATCTATGGTGTTTTCTGCAAAGTGTGGGATCGAAAGTTAACTTTCAGTTTTGTGCATGGAAATTTTCTCTTGCCCTTTGGCCGAATTGCTAGTTTTTGCGTAGAAACTTTAATTTTACTTGTTAAAAATAATTTTTAACAGTTTTTAATTGTATTTGGTGTTTTATGTTTTTCTATATTTTACAATTTTTAATGAACGTGTTTTCTATTTTTATGTGGTCACGAAGTGGGACCTGAGCTGATTGAATGAGAAACATATATATAGTATATGTATGTATGCCTAATAAAATTCGAAGAAATAAATTTAAATGAGATGTAGCAAAAATGTGTATATTTAAGAGGCTGTGCAAGGAAGTTATGTGGCGTCCACATCAAATATTTTACTATTATTTTAATTTAAAAAACCTCATTCTTAGAGCCTTCTGTTAATACAAGACTTTTGTGAATGGAATGTTTGCTTGCAAAAATTGGGTACAGTTGGAAACAAATTGGTTCTGTCGGCACTATTACTTACTATTGAGCCAACGACTTCCGACTCTCGAATATTCTAGCAGTCAGTCCAAGGACTGAACACCAAGAGAGAGGAAAAAGTACAACGTCATATATATAATAATTTTTTAATCAATTAAGAAATACTTTATTGTCTTAATAATTACAATCCATGTGTAATCGATTGGACGCAAACGCTGTACACTGGTAATTTGATTCGGCTCAAATTCCTGTGAAAGCATTGGCTGCATGGACATATTAAGGGTTTTGTCCGTATGTAATGCGATTATGAGCTAATTTGTTTTGTAAGGTTCTCCAAGTAGGCAATATTTCTTTTAGGTTTATAGATAGCCTTTGTGTGCTTTTCAGTAATTGATGAAAGAAATAAATAGAAATTTTAAAATAAACATTTCTCAGTGACTTGTCGATTCTTGCTGGTTCAGTGATAAAGAATTGGCTATTGTTTGGTAATTTCAATACTTGAATAACAGTAATAAATTCGATTTGCAGTGTGTATATAACTGGTTGTAAGCAATATTTCGCCATATTTTCTACATATTAT